CTCGGTGAGTGTATGAATGTGGGTATGCACGTATTGTATACACAGACACATCATGCAGAGGTGGTATTCAGCAGGTTCTGAACAGTTCTGGAGAATCGATAGTAGAAATTTTGGGTAGTTTGGAAAACCAGTAAATACCACCTCTGGCCCCGCCCCCATCTATTCTGTGCCTCCCGAGTCCCAATTGTTCAGGACGGAACGGAGATTTTGCAATAATCTTCCCTGGAGTGGAATGGAGATTTTACAGTGTCCTTCCCCTGTCATGCCCACCAAGCCATGCCCACCAAGCCATGCCCACCAAGCCACGCCCACCAAGCCACGCCCACAGAACCGGTAGTAAAGAATCCCACCACTGACATAGTGTATGTATGTGTGTGTATACTTATATACTATACACATACCTAGAATCTCCCAGAAATCATTTGTGATCAAGCTGGTTACTGGAAGGAAACCTTGTGGAATGGTGTGTCCGCCTGTGGATGTTGTGTAGATGTGTATGTGTGTATTTGTGTGAGAGTGTGTGAGTGAGTGAATCAATGGGAGACAAAGAGAAAAATTGCTGTACTGTATTTATTTAATATAGCAATATATATTTATAGCAATATATATTTAATGAAATATAGTTCTCTTTCTCTCTCTTGTTAAGTGTCTAGTTTTTTATTGTAGACATGTATAGCTGAAACACTTTATTCAGATGAATAAAAGTGTGCATGGATGCAATCAGTATATGACTGAGGAAAATTGGAGGAAATATTTTCTCTTTTTGGTTGAAAATGTGAAACTTCCAGTAGAAAATAAGGAGAAAGATTACAAAAGGTTGGCATTTATTTAAAAACCAACAGAGTCATAAGTTCATATTTGAGGTGCTTTGCTTGATAATGAAACAACTTGTACCATTTTATAATCTTTTGAAATTGTTTGGCTTCACATCATAGAGGCTGTTGGGTATTAGGTGTAGTACAGTATGAAAGACACTTTTATGTCTTCCATGCTATGTCTCAAAGGACGGGAGTTTAGTAGTTTGGCTTCTAATAATCAGGTTTATTTTGCATAAGAGGTAAAGGTGATATTATTTGACATTTTAAAAGGTGGTAAAATAATTATGCCTCTCATTTGGTTGGAGATGATTTCTGATTTTTCATTTCCAGCAGATCCATCAAGATCGTAGAAGTATGGACTTAGCTCATACCTTTTTTAAAAAAAAAATTGTTAAAGGCCAGTCAATTTTGAAAAGATTGAAGTGTCTGGAGCTATTTACGTTTTTTCTTTATTTTCATGAAAAACTCTACACCTATATTCATGGAAGTAAAGCAATTTCATCAGAAAGGTATCCTTTATAACACTTCCTTGAATGTTCATAAGACTCTGAAATAACAGAGTCACTTGGCCATTTCATCAGAGGCCAAATCCACACCTGAAGATTTTTGTCACTAATGTGAGGCCCTGGAGTATTTTTGTCATTTTTAAAATGAATTAATAAGCACAAAGATCTTAATCTTCATGCAGAACTTCAAAAAGAAATGAATTTCCCCTTCTTTTCCCCAGAAATGAATGTGTGAATGTTTAAAACAGTTCCAGATCTACATCAATCTACACATTCCTAACCTTAAGATGAGGATCTTGATGTTGAGAATGTCCATGATGTGTTTAAAGTGGTGATGGAGAAGCAGACACTTCTTATAAAAATCTGCTCTAAGACAGTGGTGTCTCTTTTTAAAAGGAATCTCACACCTCATATGAAACTATGTGAAACTAAATTGTGTTTTTAATCTCTGTTACTTGCTAAATGGAAAAGGGATTATGAAAATGGTAGGATAAACTGTTCGGTCCTTATGCCGTACTAACTGATACTATTTGAAATGTCTAACTAGATTATATGCCATCTACCATACCTGTTATGTATTTGCATCTTACCTTTTCTCGAAGAGTTTAAGTGACACACGTTGGCATTCCTTCTGCGAGATAAAATGGCTGGGACTCCAGAGATATTGACTCCATTCTCGTGAATATTTGAAATTTAATCTTCCCAACCTTCCAGTTCAGTTGTACTATATTACATGTATTACAAAAGATATGCTTTCTTTTTCCCGTTGCTGCGAAATGTGCTTGATACGCATCCTGAAAAAAAAATAAGATGACTCACTTCAATGTTAGCAAGTGAGACAGAATGGAGAATATAAACAATCTCCACCATGTGATTTTTCCAAACGTACAACTTAACCGTGGTAATAACTGCTAAAAAACAAAACAAAACTACTTTCCATTTTCCTTAGAAGGTAATCTCCAGAAGAGAGAGGGAAGTGAACCACACAGTGTAGACATTAGTTGAATGTTTGAATGGCTAGCTGACTCAAAGAATCAGTCCAATATCTTTCTATCCTTACTATGCTGGAAATAAAGAGAACAGTTCAATGGGAAGGCCTTTGCATGCATGCTGAATCTTATCTGATAAATCCTTAGAATTCACAATATTAAGCAATTTTTGATCATGCAGGGTTAAGTTGGTCACTCATGTGAAAACAGGTAGCAAAACTGCTTTGATTACCCGAATACAGTATTCCTTAGAGAAATTCAGGATATACTGCATTGTTCACATAAAGTATTAAAGGCTTTCAACTCAAAAGTACACAGCTTACAGGAACAAATTTAGACATCCTTAGCTTGCGTAAGGGCTGAAGTTGGCAAAGGAACGCAGTACTGCTCAGGCCAGGGGAAAAAATATAACCAACAACCAGCCAATCATTTTGTAAACTTAAGCAGGTATATCTTAAATTAAAGGTTTAGGAAAAGAGTGATCAATTCTGGCCAGTAGAAAAACCTCAAAATATATAGCTATCAAATATATACACAAACATGGACGTGTGTCTGTGTGGGTCTGTGTGTGTGTAAAGGTAAAGATTCCCCTCATACATACAGATGTGCTAGTCGTTCCTGACTCTATGGGGCGGTGCTCATCTCCGTTTCAAAGCTGAAGAGCGAGTGCTGTCCAGAGACAAATCTCCATGGTCATGTAGCTGGCATGAGTAAATACCAAAGGCGCATGGAATGCTGTTCCCTTCCCACCAAAGGGGGTCCCTATTTTGCTACTTGCATTTTTTACGT